ACAAACTGGAATAACAACAAAGTGAAACAAAACAAACAACAAAAAACCAAGAAAACTAAATACACACACACATACCTAACACAAAGTGAACAGAAAAGAAAAACAGAAAGACCCAAAGGGGAAAAAAATGAAAAGGAATTCAGGTCAAACCCTCACATATATATTGACACACACCTTAAACTATAAAAAATGAAAAAAAAACCCAGAAGAACAAAAGAGCAAAAACAAACCAAAAACAACAAAACTGAAAGATAACACTCAAATCATCCACATACACACATAAACAGAACATGACAAATAAAAGAAGAAACTGAAAAAGAAAAAAAAAATTGGGGGAGATGCAGAGAAAACCCTCACATATACATTATGCACAAAGGAGAAATATTTTTAAAATAGATTAACAGTCAAAAAGTTTTAAAAAATTTAAAAAATTGAAAATTAAAAAAAAAACCTGCCCTTTTGTGGCAGGCTTTATAACTGTTCCTCTAATCAGGTCTCTCCTGCAGAGCCACCTCTTTCACTCTCTCTTCAGTGTCTGGAGCAGGGATGGAGGAGGGGCAGTGGAGATGGGTGGGGCTGCAGTCCTCCCCTCCCATATGGTCTGGGACATCTCCTCTGGTGGGGAGGTATGGGATTGTCTCTTCCCCAGGTATGTACTCACGGAAGGTGGTGGTGGTGGGGTGTCCCAGCCAGGCCTATCCTGGAATGGAGTTCTCCTATTTTGTCCTTCTCAGTCGTGGCTCAACTGTTTGGGTCTGACATTCAGAGGATTGCTGGGGAGGAGGGGCTTTGGGTCAGCCCCGAACTCACCACTGATCTCTTTGGCGTCCTTCCTCCCCCTTTTCTGGCCACATCCTTTGTCCCATGGCTGGATCAGGGTAGGGGGTGGGGCACCTGGAACTCAGCACTCATCAGGTCCCTCCGAAGTTTGTACTTTCACAATATTCCCTCTGGGTCACGATCAATCCCTGAGTAGTTGATCTGCCAGTCACAGAGATTGGGTCTGTTGCTCCATGGTGAGCAAGTCGGAGCACTTTCCTGCCCTGCCTTATGATGGTGGTGGGGTGCCTCTCTTGTCCTCTTCCATGGGACTTTGCCTCTGGACTCCCTCTGCAGGCCCTGCTGCCAGTGCCCCGCCAGTCCCTTAAGTGGTGAGGCAAAGCCTGGAGCCGACAGTCTCTCCTGCTGCAATGGTGAGGGAGAGCCTGGGGCGATGGTTTCTCTCTGCCATTTTTTCACAGGAAAACTTTTGTCCGTTTAAAAAAAAAATGATGCTTGGCTTCTGCGCCCAGGGACAAAGCAGAGAAGCTGCAGCACAAACTGTTGCATCAGGGGCCTGGCCGTTTCTTCATGAGTCCCCACTTAGACAGTCTTTCCCAGCATTTTCTTCCCAGGAAGGGTTTACTGATTAAAAAAAGAAAAGAAAAGAAAACAGTGCTTGGCTTCTGGGTTCCAGGAAGCGCTAGGGTTCAAGCCCAGTAGCTGTGGCACCAGCCACTGCACCAGGAGAGCCCTGGCCACCAGCTCCCTAGCCCTCACTCAGTCAGCCACTCACACACCCACTTGCTCACTTAGCAGTACACAAAATTTTCCATACACTCACCCACTCACACCAGGACTTGAACAGTCCTATTGGCTCGGCCGCTATCTTCCCCAACTCCAACTCTATGCATGTTACTGTCCCTGGAGACCTTCCAGTGGGATAGGATGTGGAGATGGAAAAATAGTGTTACTACTGAAGAAAAATATTTTTTATAAATGTAATGTAGCCTAAGTATTCTGTGTTTATAACGTCTATGTGGTGCACTGTAAAGTTCTAGGCTTTCATACTCACTGACTCACCAAGAGCAACTTCTAGTCCTGCAAGCTCCATTTTTGGCAAATACACCCTATACAGGTGTGCCACTTTTTTCATCCTTTATACCACAGGACTGTATATTTTCTATGCTTAGATACACAAATACTTGACACCGTGTTATAACTACCTACACTATTCAGTACTGACTGAATACATGCTGTACAGGTTTGTAGCCTAGAAGCAATGGGCTATTACAGAGAGCCTAGGTGTGTAGTAGGCTAGACCATCTAGGTTTGTGTGAGCACACCCTATGGTGTTCACACAATGACAAAATTGCCTAATGACACATTTCTCAGAACATAACCCCTTTGTTAAACAATGCATGACTGTATTTTAATATTAATACAGTATAATAACATTTTAACAATTAACTTCACTTTGTATTTAATATTTTTTTAACCCCTGAATGATCCTTGACTGTTCTTTTGATTCTAAATTAATTTGTAAGAATTTGATTTAAAACCTTTATTCTGTCTTTTACCTTCCATATGGCTAATTCAAATTTAAGGAATCTCATAATTAGATACAATTTTTACCTTTCTGATTCCTCACCTGTAAAATGCAGATAATAAAACAACTATCTCAAAAGACTGTTGTGAGAAATAAAAGTAAAATATTTAGAAAAATGTCTCAAATATGCTGTGTCCAACAAACAGTTTACAGTAATATCTCCAGCTTTGTGTCCTTGCAATTCTCAGTTCATAACTCCATTTCCTCCATGTTTTTGCTCAAGCTCTTTTCCTTACATGGAATGCCTTTTACCCTTAGCAAAACACTACATATCCCTCAAGGTCAAGTCAAGTAACCACCAGAGTAACCACCAGAAGAATTAAACATTCCCAGTTCTGCCTATAGAACTGTGTTCCTACCCAGATCTAGTCCAACTGAGCAACACAAATTTCCTGTGCATTTGTAGTTTCACATGATCAGGTTTAGAAATAGTGTTCATTTAGTTTGGTATCCCAAAGCCTAGTCTCACGACATACCACAAACATTCATAAAATGTCCTGGATGTTATATTTCCTCCCACATTGATGTTTTCTCAGACGGGGGCAGGGAAAATAGCTATTTTGTTGAACCAGTGATAAACTACATACAGAGATGTATTCATCCATCAGCAGTTACATTAGAAATTATATAATACTTAAATAAAAAATAGGATCACATCTTTTATTGTGTCCTATACTTGCTCCCCACGCCCATATCTTGGGCATTATTGGAGGGAAGGGGAGTCAAATGAGTCCTACCTTAAGTCTAACTTCCTGATGCAATATAACTGTATTCATAGGCAAATAGAGAATATCTTAAATAAAATATTACCAGGAGATGTTTCCTTGTTATTTTAACTAGAAATTTTATATAAAATGTTAAGATATAGGACCTCAATTGTTTGAGTTTCCTAACAGCAAAAGCTGTCTAATCTAATTTTTAAACTTCCCAAATGCCCAATACAAAACTAGCACGAAAGAAGTTCTGTCTTTTCCCACTATAACATCCATGTAGAAGAGAGACCTGTCTTATTCACCACTGTGTCCTCAGCATCTAGCACTTAAATGTTAAATTAATTGCAGCACAGACTTGTATCATACCCTCAACTCTTGGGTAGAGGACCTTGTGATTATCTCTGAACTGAACATCTGGAAACCCAGCATCTGTCAAGTACACAACTCTGAGTAAGTGGCATAGTTCACTCATTCCTGCCTACCTGTCTCAGGCCATGCTACTTCCTCCAGTCTTGTTGAAAGAGGAAAAAAACTGATTCTACCTCAATTTCTTCTGCTGCTTCTTTCTTAAGCTCACCTCCAGGACATACTAAAGAATGGCAGTGCACTGAGTCAGAGGTTCTGAGTTTGATGCAAGCTGATATGCAGTATTTTTACAAGACAAAAGCATGAACAGTAAAAAGAAAGTGCAGTAATATGTTAATACTGTTTAAATCAAAGCTAAATACATCTGTTGTGACTTGCATCCTAATTTCAGGAAAGCTAAAACGTGAAAAAGGATGCTAAGATGTAAAAAAGTGCATCATTCTAAAAGTAATCGTGACAAAGGATAGGCATTTTCTCCCCTCCTTTTCTAGTATTCAATTTTTCTACAGTGTATATTTAATTCTGATAACTCAAAAATGTTTAATTTTCAGAACCATAAAGCATTAAAACAGTACTTAATTTTAAAACAACTTTTTAGGTCTAGCCCTACTCATTAAATTAAGACAAACTTACAGACTCATTGTCTTTATCATTCTAAGGAGATACCGTGTCTCATGTTTCATAGGTTCAAGAAGTTGCATGTTTTTAAAACAGTAACATGCAGTAACATGCAAACACAACATGCTAACTAAACTACTACCTATCTGGAGAAGTTGCCTCAGTCGACACTGTGCATTTGTTTTTAATGTCAACAGACATTAAGAAGTCCAAATAATTTAAGCATAGATCAATCACATAAACCACTTTAATGTTTATTAGTACCAATATAGTGGTGAGGTTGCCAGATTTATTTACAGATATCAAACTAGCTCATTGTGTTTTATGAGCTTTATTTTCAATGTCATACTTTATTAACTGAACTGCATTCACTCAGAACTGCTAATCTGGCAAAAGGATAAGAAATGCTGGTTTTGTAAAAATATCTTTTAGTGCCCCTTTAAAAAGTCGGCAAAAGACATGAATAGACACTTCTCAAAAGAAGATATATGGACAGCCAACAGACACATGAAAAAGTGCTCAGCCTCACTCATCATCAGAGAAATGCAAACCAAAACCACACTGAGATACCACCTAACCCCTGTAAGAATGGCCATCATTAATAAAACAAACAACAACAGATGCTGGCAAGGATGTGGAGAAAAAGAACACTTCTACACTGCTAGTGGGAATGCAAACTGGTACAACCTCTCTGGAAAACAGTGTGGCAATTTCTGAAAGAACTAGAAATTGACCTTCCATAAGACCCAGCAATTCCCCAATTGGGAATATACCCAGAGGAACTCAAATTATTCTACAAAAAAAGATACCTGCACACGTATGTTTGTTGCAGCTCTATTCACAATAGCAAAAACATGGAACCAACCATGTTACCCATCGAAGCTGGACTGGATAAAAAAATGTGGTACATATACACAATAGAATATTATGCAGCCATAAAGAAGGACAAATATATGAACTTTGGAGCAACCTGGATGGATTTGGAGTTGATCATACTGTGATTTATCACAGAAACAAAGAACAGAGTTCCATATGTTCTCACTCATAAAAGGACCTTGAACAATTATAATGCTATAAGAAATTAACTGATAGTTGAGGGAAACTGCTAGGGGAGGGAGAGGCATACCTCATCAACAAGGGTACCTGCATGGTCAATGTTTATATACCTAACCCTGAACTGTTCCCCACATCTGTATAATAAATTTTTTTTTTAAATACCTTTTAGCACACTCCTACTTTTTACCTAAGAGGCTTCAAATCATCTTAATACAGTTTCCACTAAAGAACACAACCATCACTTATCCAAAGAGTTGGATCTTATGCTTATGGAAGGATATATTCTTGACAGAAATGCCTAAAACATAAGTGACTTGCTCATAAAAAAGGATGTTTTGATAAAAGCCCTGTTCTCAAACAAGGGCCTGATGCTTAATTTTATGTAGAAATACTACACATGCCATTTTAAACAACTCCAACATTCCATAAAAATCTTTCCAAAAGAAGTAACAAGAAAATACCATTTCAAGTAAGGTTTTATTTGACTGATATAATTTCAGAGAAAAATGCATGAAGAGCCTAACTTTCTTATTCATAATCCCAGTTTATATTCTACTGCAACAGAGTAGAAGATGATGATATTATCAGATGATAGAAGAGTTTGATGTTGATCCCAGGAGAAAATTGCAACTAATTTATCTAAATGGACAATATGGCATAGGTACATAGAAGGAAGTGGTAAATTCTAGGAACAAATACCAGCTCACCAAAAATTAATGTCAAACTAAGCTCATTCTGAAGAGTTCATGGAAATTCTATAAATTTAGTTTTATACAAAATCAGGGGTGCTCTGCCTTTCCAGGTAAGAGAGATCATGGCCACATACATGTTCACAGCTCCAGTGGAAGAATCTCAAAAGAGGACTCCAACTGGCCCAGTGAGGTGATCAGGCCATGGACTATCAGAACACCAGGTCCATTACCAGAAGGAATGTGTGGATGCTGCTGGTGAGATAAGGATGAGAGACGATGCAATAACCAGAGTGTCAATTAACAGAAAGATACACACTTGCATACTCAGTCCTATACAATCCTTTTTTTGAAATTTACTGGGAAAATATATAGAAGGAATACTAATTAAGTGTACAAGGTCAAAAAGTTTCCGAGGAAGGAAGTGCCAGGCCCAAGCAAATATAAGCACCTGGGCTTAAAAATAAATCAAACACAACAATTTGAGGGGAAGAAAAGAAGGGGAAGCCACCATAAAGACTAAATGTAAGTGAAAAACATTTGACCATCATCAAAATGAATGCAACCTGTGCTCTTCTCAGGCCCCACACAGCAGGTCAGTTCTACTCTACTCTGTGATAGGACAGGGAGAACACACTTTGGGTAATGAATTCCACTTAGGCCCACTCCTTTATGAAGGGAGAAGTGAAGGTTCATATTCAGAAAGTAGCGGCTAAAAAATAGAGGACTGAAACCATGTCACATAAAACCGACTTAAATATTTTCCAACTCTGAAAGCGAATGATCCTATCAGTTGAAAAAGCTGCCTTAGGGAGATTTTCAAGGGCACACTTGAGGAAATTTTTAGGAAGGCTCAACAGTTGTTGAGAAGCTGACAATGAGATGTCTTGTCATTCTTTTAGTCTTCCTTTAGCAACCACAGGGGTGGCTAATAAGAGCTGCCTTTTTATTTAATGAGCATTGTGTTAGGACATTTTCTCCCTTAATCCTCACACTTCGCTGCAGAGTTAATAGTAATACTATTATGGCTGTTCTACTGAGGCTCAGAGAGGCTTAGTAGATTGACCACGGTCACAGACCTAGCAAATGACTGACTAAAGATCTGACCCCATATCTGGCTCGAAAGACCATGCTTTAAGAACTGTGCCAAACTTTCTCCATAATAAAGATCAAGTTGCTGCATATAAGAGTGTCAGTCCTTGGCTGGGCGCAGTGGCTCACGTCTGTAATCCCAGGACTTTGGGAGGCAAGAGGATTGCCTGAGCTGAAGGGTTCGAGACCAGCCTGGACAACTTGGCAAAACCTTGTCTCTACAACAAATCAAAAAATTAGCCAGGCATGGTGACATGCGCCTGCAGTTGCAGCTACTTGGAAGGCTGAGGCAGAAGGATCACCTGAGCCCAGCAGGTCAAAGCTGCGGTGGCTGTGACTGTGCCACTGCACTTCAGACTGGACAACAGAGTGGCTCAAAATGAAAAAAAGAAAACAGTAAAATATGTACGCTATGATTATGCAAAAAAAATGCACACAAACAAGAAATAAAGGGAAATAAAAATAAAACAGTATGTGTCTTATGGTTATGGCATTATGAGTGATTTTTA